TATCATCAATATATGCCTCGACATTTCTCCCAATCTGATCAAAGAACACAGTGTTTATCATTCGCTGGAAAGTGGCCGGGGCATTCTTAAGACCAAACGGCATGACCGTGTAACAGTATAACCCCTGATCAGTGACGAAGGCCGTCTTCTCCTGATCTTTCTCCCATAAAGGAATTTGATGGAAACCAGAGTAGGCGTCCATAAAGCTCATCAAAGCATGGCCGGCTGTTGAGTCAACCAGGTTATCAATTTTAGGCAGAGGGTAACTGTCTTTGGGGCACGCCTTGTTTAAGTCTGTGTAGTCTACACACATTCGCCAGGTGCCATTCGGCTTTTTAACAAGCACCACATTTGCAACCCAGTCTGGGAAGTAACATTGCCGAATGAACCCTGCATCAAGTAATTTTTTAACTTCGGCGGTTGCCGCCTGACTTCTTTCTTCGCCATGGTTCCGCTTCTTCTGCCGTACCGGCTTCTTTTTCGGATCCACGGCCAGTTTATGTACCGCCAGATCAGGACTAATGCCTGGCATTTCATGGACTTCGAATGCAAAGATGTCCTTGTATTCTTTCAATAGTTTGTGAAAGTCGTCACCCAGGTCCCTTAGAGCAGTCGTCCCAACCTTGATTGTTCTGTCAAGACGCGAGTCATCTAAGATCAGGTCCGTATGCTCACCAGCTGGCTGAGGGCGGAATTCATCCGACCGCTCCTCTGCCAATGATTGCTATTTTCTGTCTTTTCTTGCGGCTCCTGTCTGGGATGCCTTTCTCTTCTTGCCGCCTGCTTCTTGAACAGGCGCACTCTCCTTGACATTGTCAATGTCTATTTTTCCACCGCTCGACCCAGTGGCCATAACAGTGGGCTTGACATCCGAGAGATAGCACTCACGGGCCATCCTCTGATCTCCCCTTAGGGACCCGACTGTTCCATTATCCCTCTCAAACTTGAGCAACATAAGAGATGGGATTATAACAGCCTTGGAATTATTCAGGGTTGGTCGTCCCAGAATCATGTTGTAGGCCGAGAATTCTTCTACTACCAAGAACCGGACTACCATGTGTCGTCCTTCCCCTTTTTCGCCCAGGCGGATGGGTAAATCCACTCGTCCCACTGGGTGGACGACTCCTCCTCCAAACCCTACTAAAGGGTGGGATGTCGGATGTATGCAATCAGTCTGATATTTTAGTTTCGACAGACATTTGCTACTGAGGAGCTTCCGGTATCTATGAGGATTCGGCCAACTCTCTGGTTGGCCACTTTACATTCAATAACGATAGGGTCGTCATGCGGCCCTCTTACCCCTTCTAGATCTTCTTCAGTGATGACAATCTCAGGAAATGAATATTTGGAGGGCCGTTCTTGGTGAACGGAATTTACATCTAACCGTCTGATATTGTCTTTGTTGCCCCTAATAGTGGGGCCGCCTCCTGAGAAGCCGTCTGCAATGGTGTAGACGACTGCATCATCTGTATCGGAACTGTCGGCCTGTTGATTCTTTTTGGCCGACTGCTTTTTCGAGGAAGTGTTCCCCGTAGATTTCTTGACATAAGTGTCAAGATCACCTTGCTCAGCCAGGCGGTCCAGATACCGCATGAGACTGATGCATTCATTGGTGTGATGACCAACATCTTCATGATAATCACAGAATTTTTCTTGGTTCCGGTTGTTTGCAGAACCCTTCATGGGGACCGGCTTCTCAATTGAGATCCGTCCCTTGACTTCCTTTAGGATAAATTGGCTATCCTTGTTAAACGCATACTTTGGGGAGTATGGTTTGAATTCTTTTTTCTTTTTCTGGGCCGGCTGTTTAGAGGAATCAGCCGCCCAGACCTCTTTTCTCTTCTCGTCTTTGTTTGACGACTGTTTTTGTCGTCCTTCTCTTTTGTCGGACCTTCTCCCGTCTGACTGCTTTACCGTACTACAAAGATCAGTCGCCTGTATATAAGCTTCCGCTTCAATCAAGGCCTCTTGAAGAGTCGCCACCCTCTTTCGGACCAAATCAAATTTGAAGGTCGACCCGTCTTTGAGACCTCTGAAAAAGTCAGTATAGGCTACTTCATCCGGTAACCCTTGAATCTGTATTCTCATCAGGTTAAACCGCCTGATGTAAGAACGAAGCCCCTCCTTCTCGCCCTGCTGAATTGTTCCTAAATCAAGGGTCGTCTTCTTCGCTGGGATGTTCATGGCGAAGTTGGAGGTGAATAAGTAAGCAAGCGTCTTGAAGTTATTTACACAACCAGTCGGCAGGTTGCCGAACCATTGTTGTGCGATTCCTTTGAGAGTCGCTGGGAAACACTTGCACCAAGTGGGATTATCCAACCCTTGAAGGTACATCAGGTTGGTGAATGCCATCAGATGGTCTTCTGGGTTAGTAGTGCCGTCATAGGCGCCTACTAATACATTTTTCACTTTGACCGGCTGAGCGGCTTCAGTAATTTCCTTGGAGAAGGCCGACGGCTGTTCACCAAGTCTAAGCAACCGTAGCTGCCAGTCCATAGGTTGGACATTTTTTGCTGCATGTCCACCAAACGGAGGTGGCTGTAAAAAATACTGTTGTTGCGGTACAAACGGTAAGTTTGGTACCGCCTGGTCGCTATGAAAGCCGGACTGACGGGAGGTGCCGCCTGACTGACTCTCATGATACGACTGAGTATGCCTCATCGAGGTATTTCGCAGACTGTCTTGGAAGTTTGAAGTAGAGGCCGACTCTGACAATCGGTCACTCTTCTTCTGCTCTAGCAGTAGCCGAGCGTCTGTGTATGTTTTCCTCGACCCGTCCGCCTGAATATGACGAACAGGTTTCTTATTTCCTGGAGTAGGAAAACGGTATTTTGTGAAATCAAGGGCAGGTGGCTCCCACTTCCTAGATTTAGGATGAGGGGTCGCCTCTCGCCCTTGAACTGGCTTCCTCTTCCGTGAAGTGGAGGGTTTCTTAGCCGACTGCTCCTTGTCCAGAGCAGGCGGCTTCTTGTTGATCAACTCTTGAATTTCTCCCTTGAAGTCCCTCATGAAGGTCATGAGTTCGTTCCTTGTGATGGGAGCAGACCTATCAGTCGGCTGCTGCCGAACAGGCGGTGCGCCTGCTGGCTCGCTTCCAGTTTGAAGATTTTCCCGTTCCCTCCTTTCGGTATGACGGGTACGTCGGGCCCTTAGGGTCCCGTCTGAAGTTGTGTGAGCTTCAACTTCAAATTCATTCTCAGTATCGTGGTCCGACTGAACTAGAGGGTCGTCCAGGGGACGTCTCTCTTCAGGAGCCGGCACAAACGTGGATGCCATCTCAGAAGTACTCTCCCCACAGACGGCGCCAAGATGTTTCGGGGTTTTCTGATGTCCTGCGGGAGAGTTACAATTCCGAGACTGGAACCGGACGCCTGTACCTGCAAAACAAACGGATGCTCCGGATGATTGGAGATCCGCCTCCGACGGTCAAGTTAGTACTTGATTAAGGAGTAATTAATGCGGAAATTAAAGTGATTGGGTCTCTCTAGGTGAGAGAGTTTAATGTGTGTAATCTGCGTAATCTCCCTTAATGAGGATTAAGGGAGGTATTTATAACCTCGGGAAACGTGCCAATCTAGGTTTAGGTTAACCTTGGTTGATTGGGCTTCCCACGGAAGTTGGGCCTAGGTGACCGGTTATCCCAGGTGTCATGGGAAGGACACGTGTCGTGTCGTAATTGGTCCAGAGTGGACGGATCATTGCTTGACACGTGGCAGGCTCCTATTGGCCCATGTGACGGACACATGGCGGAACCTGATTGGTCCACTTGTCAGATGGTGATTGGTGGGGAAAAATCCCCTAATCAATCATTTTTATCAAGCTAATTATTTCCTTTGACTATAATATATATGGCAATATACTAGAGAACTGTAGTCTATAATTTAGGAATATAATTATCTCCTTTGACCATACAACAAATATACACTATATTTCACTCTTAAATTTGAGGATGATGCTCCTTTCTTTTGCTGGCTTGGTCTCCCTAGACAAAATGCTTTGATCAACAATTATAAGGTGGTCTAAATTGCATTTAAGGTGATTTGAAATCGAGTCAGGAACAATTTGGGTTGAATTTAGGTTGGGTCAATAACAAGTCGTGTTAATTTCGAGTCGGGCTAGTAACAAATCGGGTTGAATTTTTGGGTTGGGTAAGTAATAGGTATGGTAAAATTCGAGTCGGGTCAATAACAAGTCGGGTTGAAATTGGGTTAGGTGAATAACAAGTCGGGTTGATTTCGGGTCGGGTTTGTAACAGGTTGGGTTAAATTCGGGTTGGGTTGAATTCAGATGAGGTTAGTAACAAGTCGGGTTAAATTCGGGTTTTGACGAGTTAAAACAGGTTTGGGTCAATTTCGGTTCAAGTCGGATTCGGTTAATAATTTACGGGTTACATTCGTGTCGGGTCATCTCCAGGTCAGTTCATGTTCAGGTTCGGGTCACACATACTCGGGTCTAGGGTTGGTTTCAGGTCAGGTCAGGTCGGGTTTAGGTCACCATTTTTTCGGGTTCAGATGGGTCGGTTAATAATCGGATTTGTGTCGGTATTTCGGGTCGGGTCAATTTTTGACAGCTCTAGGTCCTCCCAAGAAAGAAGGGGGAAGGAAACAATGGTCAGATAACAGAAGGGTTAATCTTACATGTATAAGCTGATAAATGCAAGCGAAGGGGGAGTAGCAATGCAGGTTGAATTGGGGGGTCGTTATGGAGGAGGTGAAGAAAAGAACTCGAAGTTGCTTAGGAATTGATCTGAGTCTTTGCTTTTGTACATTATATTCACATGTGAAAGGAAATGGGAAAAACCGACATCCTCCCATCAGTATGCCAACCCCATGCTCATTGTGATTCTTACATTTTAACTTCTAAGTTTCTAAGCATGGGCCCCACAGGTTTCAGTTTTACAAAATTCCCAACAGACACTAGGTTGAGGTTTGACATAATACAAACCTAACTTCAAATCAAAAATCGATTAAAGCGTTTCAGTTCAATAAGGAGTCACTTACTGGACCGGAAGATCTTGAATCAGCACTGGAAGCTACATCATCTCCCTCCACCCAACAATGGCCCTGAGGAATATTCACTGTATCATGTGAGTCAGACAGATTGAGCCAATCACCAGGCATAGCAATGATCCTCTTCACATGTCTCTCCTTGTGATTACTTGGGGACCTAGCGTATTTTACAACAACAAACGCGAAAACATTAGAAAAGATGCCAAGGTGTTGAATACAGACAGCACTGCTAAAAATTCTACTTAGAATAGTAACTAGGAACAAACTTAAAAATGACAGCCACAGAAGCTAACATATATAAGGGAGATATTGAATAGCAAAAACGGTAAGGATGATTGTATGAAATTTATGCTTTCAATCATGTCAGCAAGAAGCAAGCATGTTACATTATTTAACAACCAAATCAAGAAGCTTTATGAGAGACTCACAAGAAAATTATAACATCACCACGTGAAAAGTTGTAATTCTTGAGGCAAAATTTCTCCACCAAAACATAGTCTACAAAATAACAATCGATGTATAGTTAGCCACGCCTAAAAAACCTATCAAAAGCATTTTCTTCATCATTAGACATTTCCTTACCTTTAAAATAACTACGTGCAGGATTGAATGTAGGAGACATAGAATGTCCAGAAATTCGTGAGACAGATGCAAATCGGTCAGAAACAGTTAGGGATATGATACCAACTGTAAAACATTTTTTGGCAACACCCCACCAATAATTAGGAGTAGCCATCCAAAATTTTGTAACCCAATAATCGTCAACTGAAATCTGGAGTCATCCGCTTCAACTTTCAATGAATAGGATCACAAAATGGTTTGCATATATATCAAGCCAAATACCTGGTATTAATCAACATTAATCAGTCCAACATTTCTACATCAATCAGAGTTTAAAGGTGTTGAAAAAAAGTGCAAAATACAATAGTACCCGCCTATTCGATTCCTCTGTACAAGATCATTATATAAGATTAGCTGTTTATAGCATCCAAATATTAATTCGAAACCTCAATATACTTCCTGAATGAGCTCAAAAATGATAGAAGCATGTAATTTTCGCTAAGAACATACTTATTCTAATTTTTATTTCAATGGCTTTTAAAAAAAACGCCAGAATTTATTGTCACAAAGTAGAATGCTGCAGAAATTCTTCCAATTTCAACTCACTATAGTCTATACCAAATCACCAAGTAAACAAAATATAATTCAGTAATCAGCAAGTTCTAGAAAAATGCATACTTTAATCTGTAATACTACTACAATTTAATGAATTACCCAAATTGATGAAGATAGAAAACCTAATTAATAAGAAACAATCAAGTCCCTAAAAACTACCAAACAGTTTATCTAAACTTTGATTTGAGCTTGCCAATGAATAATTGAGGCATGAAAAAATCAGTTTGAACACGAAAGAGTTAAGCAATGGAAGATTAATTACCTAGCAAGTGACTTTGGATTTCAATTTCTGGAAAAGATTGAATTTGCCCCAAATCTTTCCCTCTCAATATTGTAATTTGAACCTCAATTCCTCAATTTTGAGGAAGGAGGAAAGAGCCTTGTGCCGTACTCCAATAGTAAAATAGTAATCAGTTTGATTTCTGAGATATAGTGTACAATGGTTGGGGCCTTGGGGGTAAGGGTTCTTTTTGCGGGTCATTTGGATCGGATATGAGTCGGATTTATTTGGATCTTCTCACTTTCTAATTTCTAAGAGTAGTCGGGATCAGGATCAGCTTTGGATTCAAGCTTCGATCATTGGGTTACTACTTACTAAACAACCAAACACGTCCATCATGATTATTGATGCACTCATACACCGATGGTTTATAATTACAAGACATTTTAAGATATGATAACGAAGGGTGAGACGAGGCATGAATGATATAGTTTGAGGCATCAAAGAGGCTTCTTGAGACCCGTTGGACGCCTTGGGAAGCAACTCAGTGCTTAATCTTGTCAAGTTTAAAAATGTTTATTGAAGATCAAATTTGAAGCCCATAATATTTGTCTTAAGTCTCTTGGGGTCTATGGTGAGTTTGAAAAAGTTGAAAATTGTCCAAATTTGAAGGTTACTCACTTAATTGTTTTTTTGGACCAATTTTTAGGAAATCCTTTCATCCGTAAAGTGATTGCGTGGTGTGTTTTCCAAGGTTATTAAAATTGATTTGGAAACATAACAGACCTACCACTAAGTGCATAAAGTCTCGAGAATGAGTTTGGTACAACTATATAACCATTTTGAAAAATTGTTGAAGTAGTAGCCAATAGAAGCAAGAGATGATTCCAATTAGTAAGTAGGAATCTTTCAGTGACATGGGTTATCAAATCAAAAAACACCCATTACCATTGTTGATACATGGGTTACTTATGGAGTACAAATTGTACAAATGTAAAATTATTTATAGATAATCCTTTGTGAAAGTAACCATAACAAATCATTGCAAGAATATATGAATATTACTCCTATATGACTATATTAAGATAAAATACTGTAATTTTGTTGGATATATGTAATATGGATACATATTTCTCTCAAAGTTTGGCTGTTAAAGAATTCCACTTAGAGCTCTTAAACATCAATTCTGGAATGCTAGGCTCAAATGGCTCAAAAAGTGCCTCAACTTCTTGCATATCAACTTCCTGCACACTAGATGGATTCCACTTTGGATTCTGCCAGCAGTAAAAAAAATATATGTCAGCTATGTAAATTTAACATACTAGTACACTCGAAGAATCAGATTCAAGGCAATCGAACAAAAACAAGGCCATAACAAAAGACCCTTTAGTAATGTTGTTGCATTTACCAAGTTATGAGTTTATTCTGTACTTGTGCATAACAGGTGCAGTTTGTGCAATATAATTTGAATGGAAATTAGACAAACCTGATCGTTGTCCACCAGAATAGCACGGACACCTTCTGCAGCGTCTTTTCTTAGTGAAACTCTAAGAATAACTCTGTACTCCAGTTTCATCACTCCACTAACCTACATATCAAGCACGGAAAAACAGAAAACAAGAAACAAAAATGAGAGCAAAGTCTTAATAAGATATGCAGACCGCGTAAATGAGAAGCTTCAGACTCACATTTGACAGATGAACATCATTACTTTTGACAGCTGATGCAATTTTAGCATAATACTTGTGTGTTAAGCACAGAGAGAATGGAGCGCCTTTCCCAAGCCCTTCCAAGGCCTCCTTGGCCCATCCAGCCACTGCAGATTATACCACGCTCATGTTGTAAGACTGATAAAAATGGCATAATGAATTTACTAGGGTGCACAATGGGTATCTTACCTCTGGTATCAGAATTCTGCTGATGCATTTTCAATTCCTCAAATATATCACTTACTGACTTGTTTGCATTGAAGGTAGAGGCAATATAAGGCAAAAGCAACTTCAGCTGTGACTCGGTATGTGGCTGGATACTGTATTTTGACAGTAGCTCTGCAACATCTTGGTAAGGATCCTCCGAACTGTCCAAAAATCAGCTTATTAAAATTGTATTGCTGACATAATATGCAGCAACAGACGAGAGAGGATAGTGACAATAATGCAGTAACATCAGTCCATTTTTATAACCTTGTGAACTAAAAGAAAGAACGCTATACATACAAAGTGGATGTCAACAAGGACTCCTTTAGAGAACCTAGGTTACTCGATGGCACATAGTGCGTCCCTAGGCCAACGTACAATGCATCAGCTGGGTTAGATATTCTTTTACCAGTCAGACCAAGATAAGCACCTGCATGATATAACAGAAACAGATTTTAATGTCCGGTTTACTTTCCAACATGCATATTGTGCTTAAGTTACATTAGGTTGTGTTGAGAAACACCAAACACGGCCTAGCTTACCCACTGATCCATCTCCTGGACTGTTTGCCGCAATGTAAGAAAACCCTACATCAGGTAGCATACCAATACTATTTTCTGGCATAGCAAATACAGTCCTCTGTTACAATTATACAAGAAAAGATCAGAATATATGTAATCTGCAATAGCTTCAGAAAAGTTAGTAAAGAGCTAACAAATTAAGACAGCACCTCTGTCACAACGCGGAAATGGCCATGGCATGATAAGCCGATACCCATACCCATAGTTATGCCATTCATCAAGCTGATGTACGGTTTTTTGTATTCAGATATCTTGCAAATCAAAGTATACTCTGCCGTGAACACCTGCCAATAATTGAAGAGATTAAGCATAAAAAACCAAGAGATACAAATGAATTAATAGGAGAAAATTGAGCACAGAAATTCAATACAAACAATATAGGTAAAAGATACATTGGAGCTTGAACAAAAGGAGGTAGACCAATATTATGATCTTCATAACATCATCAAATAATAGTAGCACCAGCTTAATAGCTAGAAAGCGCATAGCATTACAGATTAAAGAGTGGCACATTGAAAAGTATTCGCCTCAAAGATAATATACTTGACCTCGCCTACACATTATACACACTTTAACATATATCTCTACCCTGAAGACTATATGTATGTTTCAAAATCAGATAATGAAGTAGTAGGAACAAATAAGTTTCAGACAAAAGTTGGCCTCGACAATAACAATTAATACTATAAAAAAAAAAAAAAAAAAAAAAAAAAAAAAAAAAAAAAAAAAATTGTTAATAAAAAAAAAAGCACAAACCTCAATCTGAGTTGATAATTTTTGAGTTCCAGTAAGATACTTCACATCACCACCTAGAGATCAAATAATACATTGAGTTAGATGCTAAAACAGAATTGAATACTCCCTTCGTCCCAAATTACTTGGAAAAATTTCCTTATTAACTCCTATAAATGGCACAAATTTACTTGATATATATATACGGATCAGTAAGGAGTCATTTCTTTTTTCTTTTTTGCACAAAATCATGTGCTGGTTAAAGGTTGGCAAGTAGAGTTTGCTCACATTTACTGAATTGAGCTGAACTGATTGGAGCTGAACTAAACTAAACTGAAATTAAGCTGAAGTCAACAAACCCTAATTCGGTACAAAAAAGGATTGTGTTTGCATCATTACCAGCACAGAACGAACGAGGTGAACTACTCTCTACTAGAACACATTTCACTCTTGGATCTTCTTCCCATTCATCTAGAAAGCTTTTGAACTTATTGTCCATTTCTGCAGCAAAATTAAATAAAACTTTATGGAAACAAAAAAAAAAACAAGTAACAAGCCTTCCATTGATCAATTTTTATAAAATTAGCTAAATAAAAATAATGATACAATCATGCCAATGTAATAATCCTCGTGCTCAAACCCTAAGAGAACTACGTACAACTAACATGTACATATTCTACATTTCTACTTAAGCACGCACTCTATAGTCCATACATATATAACAACAATGATACGAGTCTTCTTATTAGATCATACATCCATGGTTCCTATGTATTGAACAATATAATCATTGAATAATTAGTATAACTAACCATTATGTGTAAAAAGTTGATATTTTAAAACTATACATACTTTAAGGTGAATATTTTCTTAGTCAATGAATACTCGTTTTATTAAAGTTACAATTCTTTGAATGAGACTATTACAGAGACGGAAGGAGTATTTTACTTTCCGACCACATAGTTATAAGAAGGGTACAGTAAGACTAAATGCACTCTAACTAAGTTACGTCAATGTACATTTCAACCATGGTGAACAAATTAAATGTAAAGAAAGCAAAAATTGACCTGGAGTCATGGCGTTGAGAGCTTTAGGACGATCAAGAGTAATAACAGCGACGCCATTAGCTTGAATGTTTCCCTTGACGAACTCATTGGCAAGAGAAGCGGAAGCCATGATCAATGAGAAAGAGAAGAATGAAGAGATAATAATGCAAGTAATAGTATTAATGCATGATTTGATTAGAATAGAAATCTAGAATTATTAGTAAGTAATAATTCGAGTTGGTTGACTGTTCTTGCATGTGATTTATGTGAGTGTAATTAATTTGATGGGATTGAGCATGTCACCAAGTGCATGGGCGTCTTATACTTCGCATAAAATATTATTTCCTTTAACTCTCAATGATTATTACAATTTTTATTTTTGTCGGTATTTTTGAATTTGTCTCATAGATGTACTTAATAATCCGTAACTTTTTAGTTAGAGTTTTCTAATTCCATATGCTCTTTCTATATCTTCATTAACAACAGTTTAGATTTTATATTACTACTCTTTAAAGATTGCACTGGCCAACCAAGGCTCAATACAACATGTTACTCCACTATATTTACTTGTTGTGGGTGGAGTTTGAGTCGTCTTTATTTGGGAGAAATATGACAGGGCATGACACGACCTGCCGCGACAATAGCTAAAAGAGTTGCATCACCCTTTGTTAGTTCATTATAAAACAATATATTGCTGATGATTATGACTCTGAATAGGATTGTTTTGAGTTCATTTCTTAGTTTATACAATTAGGAAGATATACATATACATATTAACTTGAAACAACTTTATTTTAGAGGGGGGGGGGGGGATTGTATACTTGTATGATGAAATTGTTATGAATAAATTTCAAAATGTTGATTATTATTTAGGCCTGAAAAAGATTTCACAATTTCATTTGTAATCCTAATATTATTATAGGATATTCGGATACATATTTCGCTCAAATTTTGGCTAAAAGAGAAATCTCCTTGGAGCTCTTAAACCTCAATTCTGGAATGTTAGGCTCAAATGGCTCAAAAATAGCCTCAACTTCCTGCATGTCAACTTCTTTGACACTAGACGGCGTCCACTTTGGATTCTGCAAGCAGCCATGTAACTTCATCAACAAACAAGAAATTGAAGGCAAAGCAAATCAACAAACCAGAAATTAAAGGCAAACCAAATCAACAAACATGAACACGACGAGACCCATTGCAGGATCTATCACTAGTGCAAACCCTTGATAATGTTGTACATAACAGTTCTGTGCAACAGGGGACATAATTCAACTGGAGATTAGACAGACCTGATCCTTGTCAACCAAAAGAGCACGAACACCTTCAACGACATCTTTTCTTTGTGAAGCTCTAATAGCAATTCTATACTCCAGTTTCATTACTCCAATCACCTAGATTTTAAGCAGGACATGAGCAAAGAAAAGGAAACAAATATTGAAGGGGATATGCATGTAAAATTGGCAAAAGGTACGAAAATGAGAAGCTTCTGACTCACATTAGACAGATGAGCATCATTATTTTTGACAGCTGATGCAACTTTAGCATAATATCTGTGTGTTAAGCAAAGAGAGAAGGGAGCTCCTCTGCCAAGCCCTTTCAAGGCCTCCTTGGCCCATCCAGCCACTGCAGAACGAGCCACGGATGTGAGTGGGTGAGTGAGTGATTGAAAAGGCGTAACAAGTTTACAAGGATGGACTGGATATCACTACAGAAAACAGAATAGCTACATACCTATGTCATCAGAACTCTGCTGATGCCTTTTCAATTCGTCAAATATCTCACTGACTGATTTGTTCGCGTTGAAGGCAGAAGCAATATAGGATAAAAGCAGCTTCAGTTGTGGCTCTGAATGTGGCTTGGTGCTGTAATTTGACAGTATAGCAGCAACTTCGTGGTAAGGATTCCCTGAACTGTCCAAAATCGGCTTATTAATGATTGGATTGCAGACATATTAATCCAGAAACAGACGAGACAGATGATAGTGAAAACATTGCAACAACTTTATTCCATTCTTATAACTTCATGACTTGCCCTCAACAAATATAGCACCAACACTGGATGAACTAAAAGAAAGGATGATGTACATACAACGCGGATGCCAACAATGACTCCTTTAGAGAACCAAGGAAACTTGATGGCACATAATGTGTCCCTAGGCCACTGTATAAAGCATCAGCCGGATTAGATATTCTTTTGCCAGTCATACCAATATAAGCCCCTGCAAGATGTGTAAATCGAAAGCAGATATGACATCAAGCACGGTCTTCTCATCATTCGATCCTTAAGGGACAGGCTAGCTTACCCACTGATCCATCTCCTGGACTGTTTGCAGCTATGTACGAAAACCCTATATCAGGAAACAAGCCAATACTATTTTCTGGCATAGCAAATAGAGTCCTCTGTTACAAAATTATACCAGAAATGATCATCAGAACAATGTAATCTGCAATAATGACTTCAGAAGAATCAGTAAAGGCTTAACAAAGTATAACAGCACCTCTGTCACAACGCGGTACTGGCCATGGCCTGATAAGCCAATACCCATACCCATAGTTATGCCATCTATGAAGCTGATGAACGGTTTTTTGTACTCAGATATCTTACAAATCAATCCATATTCCGCTGTGAATATCTACAAATAAGTTCAAGGCGACTAGATAATAAAGACACCAAGTATAATAAAAGAATTCACATGTAACTCAACACCAAGAAATCAATACACACACTATAGGTAAAAATTCAATATACAAAATTTTCGGGTTATAAAAACCTCTGAATTAACACAACATAAACAAATAGAAAAACACAAACCTCAATCAGAGCTGGTAAATCCTGAATTCCAGTCATATACTTCACATCACCACCTAAATACATACATATATATATATCTCAACTAATAATACATCAGGTCATAAATCCAATGGAACCGATTCAGATGCTAAAATAAGAAAATAAGATATACAAATTGAAGTTGGATTGAGTTTAACATAAATTACCAACACAAAATGAACGAGGCGAACCACTACTCTCTACTAGAACACATTTCACTTTCGCGTCCTCTTCCCATTCATCTATTAAGCTTTTGAACTTAATGGACATAGCTGCACCAAATTAAACTAAGAAAGATTTAGTGGAAGCAATAGAAAAACAAAATAACAAGCCTTACATTCCTAGGAGATTAAACTAGTACACGGGTTTTACTTAAGTACTTCGTATGTCACAGTGATTGAGTTGTTCACTCATCCTAGTATAACAAATTAACAATAATACATAATAAATACTCCCTTTGTCTCCTAAAGAACTTTCGTCTTTTGGACATTCATAAAATGTCAAGTACAATAATCATTTTACTATAGGGTGACTTATAACAATAATTAGAGAAAAATTAAACATAGGAAAATAAGGGGAAACAAACTTGACCTGAAGTCATGGCGTTGAGAGCTTTAGGACGATCAAGAGTAATAACAGCGACGCCATTGGCGTGAATTTTTCCCTTGACAAACTTGTCAGCATCAGAAGCAGAAGCCATGATCAAGAAACTTCAATGATCATTATTGTCTAATTTGAAATTAAGAAGAAAAAAAATTAAGAATTGTGTTCATTGTATCAATGTATGTCAGCATTTGCATTGATGTGCTATTAAAAAAGACTTCAAATTATGTTCTACTCCATTCATTTGTGAAAGAGCTTGTATGTGAGTTATTTGAAAGTAACGTTTTCTAATTAGTTAATCGCGTTTGACATAGTTATTAATATTTATAGTTTTTCAATCTATTGCTTAAGTGGAGATAGGAAGCTAGAGTAGTTGGCTAGTTCTCGACTTTCAGGCATGAGGCCAAGGGTCAAATCTTACCAAGCACATTTTAGGAGGGTTTTCCCTTAAATTCCCCCCTTCTAGAATGGGCCTTCTCCTTAGGTTTGAGTTTCTAGGCAAGAATCAATTCAATAATTACTGTGGGTTTTCTCATGGGCTCAACATTATATGTTAATCGTTCTTCCCCATTTTTCTTTAACGAAGGCAACATATCATGTCTCACTTCTGATTTTTTTTCGCGGTCATACCAACTACAACATACCTGATAATCAATTGATCATATCATCCATATTGGATCAATTAATTTGGAATTATTCCAAACAGTTTTGTTCATATACTGTTATATAATTAGCTTCTGTGCCTGAAATCAGATTCTACAATTTCATTTGCAGTCCTAATATTATTGGATACAAAATTTGGCTCAAATTTTGGATGAAAGAGAAATCCCCTTAGAGCTCTTAAACCTTAATTCTGGAATGTTAGGCTCAAATGGCTCAAACATAGCCTCAACTTCCTGCATATCAACTTCCTTGACACTAGACGGCGTCCACTTTGGATTCTGCCAGCAGCCATGTAGATTCAACAACAAAGGCCACAACTATTAGAATAGATCGATGCAAGAATTTATTGACAAAGCATATTGACAAACAAGAACACGCGACACTCCTTGCAGGATACTCGTAGTGCTACTAAACATTTAAGGCATTCCAACAGAAAAATGGTACCAGCACAAAGGATTCTTGGTAATGTTGTTGCACATAACTAGCTGTAAATTTAAATCGAGCATAATTTAATTATGTTTTGTACATATAAGTTTTGTGCAGCACAGAACAATAGAACATGATTTAAATGGAAAACTAAACAGACCTGATCCTTGTCGATCAAAAGAGCACGAACACCTTCAACAGCATCTTTTCTTGGTGAAGTTCTAATAACAATTCTATATTCCAGTTTCATAACTCCTCTCAGCTAGATTCCAAAAGCAGGACATAAGAATAAAAATGCAAACAAATTTAGCATACTATATGTATGTTCAGCAAAAATTAGAAGCTTCTGACTCACATTAGACAGATGAACATCATTACTTCTGATGGCGGATGCAACTTTAGCATAACATCTGTGTGTTAAGCAAAGAGAGAATGGAGCTCCTCTGCCAAGCCCTTCCAAGGCCTCCTTGGCCCAGCCAGCCACTGAACAAAACCACGGTTGTATGTAAGAGTGTGATCGAAAAGGCATGGAAGTTTAAAAGGATGCACTATGAAGTATGAACATCGACCTCTAGGATCACTACAGAAAACTAACAGAATTGTAGCTTACCTAAGTCATCAGAACTCTGCTGATGCCTTTTCAATTCCTCAATTATTTCACTTACTGACTTGTTCGCGTTGAAGGCAGAAGCAATATAGGGCAAAAGCAGCTTCAGTCGTGGCTCATGATGTGGCTTGATGCTGTAATTTGACAGTATAGCTGCAACATCCTGGTAAGGATCCTCTGAGCTGTCAAATATCGGCTTGTTAAAGATTGTATGACAGATAATAATGCAGCAACATTTGAGAGATGATAGTGACAATAATGCAATAACTTAAGTCCAAACTTATAATTTCATCACTTGCCCAAAAAGCATATACAGCAACGGATGAATATAAAATATATAAAGGATGTACATACAAAGCTGATGCCAATAAAGAGTCCTTAAGAGAACCAAGGCTTCTTGATGGCACATAGTGCGTCCCCAGTCCAACGTATAAGGCATCAGCCGGATTAGATATTCTTTTACCAGTCATACCAAGATAAGCGCCTGCAGGATGAAAAAAAAAAGTATAACAGGAAGCGTATATAACAGAAACAGATTATTATGTGTCATGTTTACTTTCCAACATGCACATTGTGCTTAAGTTATGATAGCTAGGCCATCATACGGTCCAAACGGACAGGCTAAGCTAGCTTACCCACTGATCCTTCTCCTGGACTGTATGCAGCTATGTACGAAAACCCTGCATCAGGGAAGTAACCAATACTATTTTCTGGCATAGCTATAAGAGTCCTCTGTTACAAATTATACTGTGAAAGATCAGAACAGTGTAATCTGCAATAATGACTTCAGAAGAAATAGTAAAGACTCAACATATTATAACAGCACCTCTGTGACAACGCGGTAATGTCCATGGCATGATAAGCCAATACCCTTACCCATAGTTATGCCATCCATGAAGCTGATGTACGGTTTTTTGTACTCAGATATCTTACAAATCAATGTGTACTCTGCTGTGAATCCCTACCAATAAATTCAAATTCAAGACATCAAAAAAAATAAATACACAATGAAAGATTTCGCAATTGAGCTCAACTACAAGCATCAATACACACACTTCAGGTAAAATTTCTACATAAAAAATCTTCGGGTTTTAAAAACCACTCTATAGTTACTCAGTATTACTTGTATATGTTTGTAAACACAAATTTTAAATCTATATTTTGCATTTGTTTGTTTTGAACCTATATTTTGCAGATATAAAATATCTGTTTACATTTTTTAATTCTAGTATTACTTGTATATGTTTAATTTCTACTCCTTCAGAATAACACAACATAAAACAAACAGTAAAACACAAACCTCAATCAAAGCTGATAAATCTTGAGTTTCAGTCATACACTTGACATCACCACCTAAATATATATATCAACTAGCTTAGTAGATCAGGTCATAAATCCAATGGAAATTAAACAATTCAGATGCTAATATAAAATAAGAAAACAAGATACAAATTGAAGTTGGATTGAGTTTTACATTAATCAATTACCAGCACAGAATGAACGAGGCGAACTACTGCTTTCTACTATAACACATTTTACTTTTGGGTTCTCTTCCCATTCATCTAGTATGCTTCTCAACTTCTTGTCCATAGCTGTACAAAATTAAACTAACAAAAGTTAGTGGAAGCAATAGAGAACAATTAAAGTAACAAGCTCGCCACCCCGTGTGACCACTGGTTAAAATCAGAGTAACCCCTAGTAACGTTGACATATTTTACCCCTATTATATGGTCAGATTAAGCTTTAAAACACTATCCGAGTAACACCAGAATGGTTAGCCACATATAAGAATTTGTGATAATAAATGCGTACTCCCTTTGTCCCCTAAAGAACTTAAGTAGTCCGTATAAAATATGATAATGAAGTGATTAATCACGCTTAATTATATATCAAGTATCATTAATCATTTTACTATAATAATTAGAGGAAAACGTAGGAATATAAAGGAAACTTGACCTGTAGTCATGGCGTTAAGAGCTTTAGGACGATCAAGAGTAATAACAGCGACGCCATTCGAGTAAATGTTTCCCTTGACAAACTCATCATCATCATCAGCAGCAGCGGAAGCCATGATCAAGAAGCTTCAATGATGAAGAATATTCTACTAAAGGAGTTAATTATTGATTAACTTGAAATTGATTAAAAATAATTATAATAAGAATTACTGTGTTAATTGTACTATAAAAAACGACATTGTTGCTAATAAAAAAAAAGACTTAAAATATAAAATAATGTTCTATTCCATATAAAATTATTGGCTTTATGAATTTATTCGATCACCTTTTTTATTGAACACTTCAGCTCATGTAAAGCTAAGCATGTAACTTTAGCGCTGAGGTGGAAGAGACTAGAAGGTCTAGAACTGAATTAGTATTCCCTCCGTTTTTAGAATATTTAAGATGTTGGACTTTATTTATTATTTATGTATTAGTTTTGATCATAATTTCTATTACATAGATATTGATATAAAGTTTCATACTGTAATTTTTAAAATAATTTTCATTAATATTCAATTATATAAAAATAAAGTCAAACTAGTGTATTGATATGTGTGTAAAGTGACTAATATTTTTAAATAGATTAGAGGGAGTACTACTAATTTTTCGCGTTTACCCTATTGGATGCATTTCATGCATAGCCCTTAAAAAGTGTAAATTTAGTACACAATCAAGTGTATTGATGCACGTACAACATACTCGGAATACCCATTCTATGGTTAAGGGTTGTTCTCTTCAGATTAATTTTAGTTCAGTTCAATTCAGTTCTTATACGCGAATACAAGGGTCAATCATCCTCGATCAGAGCCTTTAATCATCAAAGCTAGCCTCTCGAATTTCTTAGGTCAAAGTTCGAGTTTCTTGACTTTCATCTAACGTCAAGTAATCATAGTGTTTACGTTACTTAATATTGTAATCAATTTATAATTAAATATTGAAAAATATAAATTAAAAAAAATATATATATATAATCAAGTCCATTACAATTTTGGTTCCATTGAATAGCAGCAATTAAAAAAAATGTCACCAACCAAGAATCAATCCAATAATGAGTTGATTTTTATAACGTTAATTAGTAATTATACTATTAATGTATCATGAAAGCAACAATTATTACTAATCTGCTGTATATTCAAGGCAAATTGATATTTTTTTAAGGTATTAATAACTTCCTCAAATTTGTCCTATATCTTTGGGTATGACTAAGCTACGTTATTGATGAGGTTTCTCATAAACATACTTGTTTAACATATTAATTTCATTCATTTCCAAGAAGACCAAAACCATATTTTTTGTAATATATATTAGTCTACTTTCAAAATAAATTTGTGTGATTTTATTAATCATAATCTAGTTAGAAAAATAATCATATAATGGAGAAGAATACCAACTATTACGTATATGACAGATCATATCACATTGGATTAAATTAATTAATTTTGAGTTATTCATTTTCTACTACTACATAAACCAAGTGATCAAATTACAATTTCTCACCAAATTTTCAAAGAAATATCAAGTATGAACCCAAATGAGGCACCCCCTTCTCAAATTGAGACAGTCGAGCCCTCATCTCAGACTGAGGCACCCCCTTTGTCTAAAGACGACGAAACCCCATCTAAAGATAAGGCACCCCCTTTGTCTCAAGACGACGAAACCCCATCTAAAGATGATGATGAGGCACCCCCTTTGTCTAAAGACGGCGAAACCCCATCTACAGACAAACCTCCCATAGCTCATCAAATGTCATACACTGATCATATTATGTCACGCCGTGAAGAAAAAGGAGTTGCCTATGCAGCGTACGTGTTTTTTTTTTTTTTTTTTTTTTAACTTTCGTTAATATTGTATCTACTACCTCTGTTTCATATTATTTGCAACGATTAGACATTTTTCCTCTCTATATCAAATTGTTGCAAATAATATGAAACGGAGGTAGTATTAAGTTTATATTGTGATGTTCAAATTTCACACTAGATCATTAACTTTTACACGAAAATTAGTTGATATTAAGCTTAATAACAAGATTACTTTAATCATATATTTGTCCTGTTTTTCTGAATGCATGCAGTTTATTTGCTCTGTGCTGCTGCTTTTGCTGTTATGGAGCCTGTGAATGCTGCCTCAGTATCTTCTGTTGTTGCTGTTAAACAGAAGCTCGAAACTTTGTACTTCCTCCGTTTATATTTACTTTGAACATTCTAATAACACACGTAGTTTAAGGTGGGAAATATTTAGAGAACGTTAACATAAACAAATCAATTAAAATAACTTAAACACCGGTAAAGGGAGAAAAATAGGATTGTTAAAGTATAATTTATGTTGAGTTGTTCGTTTACCTTTTCTAATCTCTTATTTTAACTACGTGTCAAAATATGTTTCAAGAATAAATGTAAACGGAGGAAGTATGTGTATAAACTGAATTGTATATCACTCTACTCAAAGTCGAAGGATTTGTATGTATTTGGATCAAGAGTGGTTTGTATCATACTTATGCCATGTTTGTATTCATCATCAAAAGAATTGTATTTTTTTTTTTTTTTTTTTGAAAGAAAAAGAATTGTATTTTTGAAAGTTCATCTATGTAATTATGTAAATGATTGGATATTTTTTTAACAAGTACTACAAAATCAAGTGGTTTAAGTTTCCTAAATTTCTGAGATCAACGATTGAGGCTTATCTCTTTAATTAACAAAAAAAAAAATTAACAATTACACTATAATTAAGTTTTTGTTCTTTGATATTTTGATGCAAATTGCCAATTTTTAATTACCACATACCACCAAATGCACAAATGTTTTATCTGACTTTGACTCTTTGGATATGATCCTAATACATTTGATGAGGTGTCTAATAAATAACATATAAAATATAAAAAAAATATTCCACGCATTTTCACCTTAAAAAAAAAACACCAAGATTTTTACATGTTCTACCCCCTTTTTTTCAATTCATTTACTATTCATTGGGTTAAACTTAAAAAATAAAGCTTTGACCATCTATTTCTGCTTTTTATACAAAACTAAAACTATCACCGAGGATCTTATTAGAATCAAATTTTCATACTTCACGGTTTACACTACGTAATTAATGATATAGTTGATCAAACACGTGTGATGGAGACCACATAATATGCAAGTGAGTAGAACAAAAAAAACGAAGGAAGTAAATTGTACAATCACAATAATAGCCTTTATAGCAATTTTATAGACTGACTTGTACTTGTAATAAACAATAGTCTACTACCTTTATTAACTTTTAGTTGCAACTTTGGAATATTTTATATCTCACAAATAATATCTCAAGGTTGTAACTAAAAGTTAACGAAGGTAATACAAGATTGACAATTAATCATAGTGTAGAAAAAGGTAAAACCGATGAAACCCCTTACAGTCGGGTTTGATGAAAAGAAGAGAAGAGAGGTCACTATCCCTTTATTAATCAATAAAGATACAACCAAAACCATATTTGTAAATTACAGCACAGTACTCTAGTCCAATAAAATAATTGTGTGGTTTAATATAATTTGTGGAGAAATTTCTCTTCCACTACAACCAACTACCTCGCAATCAATCGCATTGAATTGATTAATGAGAAAATACAAGTATGTTATCCGTATCTCGCACATGTGAATGATTTAATTGGCTGGTATCACGTGTGACAAGAACAAGAATTGTCAAAATATGAAGCTAACACTCTAATCTTCATCTACATAAACAAAGAAAATCATAGTATAACCAGAAAACATAAATCAATCACTAAATTTCAAAGAGAAGAGAGAAAGAAAGAGAGTAAAAATGTACTCAGATCAGCCACCTCCAGCTCAAGAAATAACATACGTAGATCATGTTAAGCGACGCCATGAAGAGAAAGGATGCATCTATGCAACGTTTGTTTTCCTTCCCTTTCAATATTAATCATCATTCTTTTTCTTTTGCTTGTTTCGTCGAGATTTTTTCTTATTTACAAAAATAATATGGAGTTTAATCAAGATTTTACTTAATGGACTTGTTTAATTCTTCAATCACTTGAAAATTTTGAATAGATTATTATTGGTGTGTATGTAGATATTTCAATGTTAACCACTAAATCCAGTTTAAGTAAGCCTCTTTTTTCTGCTGTTCTGAATGCAGTTGTTTTGCGTTATGCTGCTGCTTCTGCTGTTACGAAACCTGTGAATGCTGCTTTGATATCCTCTGCTGTTGCTGTTAAGCACGAGCCTTAGTTTCAGAAAGAAACTATCTGTACTATCGTTATATTGTACAGTACTGCTTTATGTGTATGAGCTTGTATTTGGATTGAGCTGGGTTTGCATCATATTTATGTCGAGTTTAGCTTCTAGCTGTCGCTTTGAATTCATAAAGTTCTGTATTATTTCAGCAAGAAGTTCATGTAATACTAGTACGGCTGTAATTGATTGGGTTTTTTAATTTGTAATGTACTTTATACAAAGTAACAGAGATTCAAGATTGAATTCTTTGCCATATCTAACATCAGTTTTCAACAAATTTTTCTACATATGAACTATTTCTTACAGACAACTTCAGTCGTTTCAGTCTTCCAGAAAGTAAGGACAGAAGACCAACGAAAGAAATGTACATGTGAACTTATTTCAAAAGGTTTAAAAATGAAAAGACTAAGAACTACAATGTTCGGTCTACAAAACCAGTGAAGTCCTCATGAATTCATCATCATCAAGCTTGTTATTGAATTCATGTTGGGGTGTACAGAGCAACTCAGCATCTTATAGCGGAGAATAGGCTGTCAAAATTTGAAGGTAGTATAGCTGAATCTTGGAAATTGACATTACTCAAAAAGCATCCTTCTCTATTTTTTCGGTCTCAGAATATGTACACACAGGCAACAGAAGTCAGCAAGGTGGTGAGCAGTACTGAGACAAGATTGACAGCATTGTTGTCGAGGATATCAACACCTGATATGCGCTTGACAGTTGGTCCAGGTTTTCCAACAACCTTCAAATGACAATTTTAAATTAATTAGTAATTATCAGTAGTATCATCAAGCAAGCTGGCAAATGCAAAATGATAAATTTTAATATAGTGACAATGCGAGAGTGATTCCAGTTTCATACAGGAATGTTAAAAGCTAACTACTTCCACTGATAAAACTGCAAGCTGAAGCAGATGTGTATAAATTTTAACATAGTAGATCAGCAGAGCAGTAGTAGAGTATAAATGTGATCGCAATACTGTTTAAAATGTGAGTATATTCCTAACTAATTCTCTCTTATCAACAAAATTACAAAATTAACTATGACAAGAAGCATGGCCAATTATTCCACAAGAATGACAGTACGTAGAAAAAAAGTAGCATTGAGATTTGGAAAGCTTAGGAAGAACAGAAATTCTAAGACTTCATGAGCACTTTCATTCTACATGCATATACATATAAGCATCACAGTTACTCTTTGTAGTCCGCAAAAATATCTGAATCGAAACCTTTGAGGCAAGGCAGTCCAACATGTACAGGCCACACAGTCACCTTAGGAGGGTGCTCGTCAATTTTATGAAAAATCAAAGATGTTAAAACGAGAAGCAGCAACAAAAAAAAGTATGACAGAAGTGTGCAGAAAAGATCTAGATACATGTGCGGAACAAAATGTATGAACTCTATGAAGAACAAAAGTGATAGAATACATTAAAAGCAATAAGAGACAGCAATTGTAGAAAAATCTTCAAGCATATGTTGATTAAAACATGTACTACGAAAGCAAAAGACAATGTTTGTGTATGCATACATAGGCTCTCAATGAATATATGAAGAGAATCTAAGATGACTTGAAATGTTGTACGTTTAACACAGGTCATTTCCTCAATTTATATGAATATGTATGTTTAAATCTGGAATAATCAGCACAATCAGACTCCTGGACTGTCAGAAATTATTTCAAAATTTACCTTATTACGAACAGTACAAAATCCGCTGAATTGCAGTGTAGCACCCAATAAAGAGTCTAACAAACTTCCAAACAGTCCAGCAAGTGTTGCAAGGGGTATAACCAGAAGTTGTTTCAAAGCCACATCAGAAGGACAGTTGATAGTAAAATATCCGAACACAGTGAAAGAAAGTCCAATCACAGCGCCTCCAGCTGCAGCTGCCAGGAGCCCTGTTCTTGTAACACCACCATTTGTACCCTTGCGAATTACCTGATAGGCATGGGAAAACAAAAAATCAGAATAAGCAATCTATTCTCAAGTACATTATAATCAACTTTCATTGATCAACACCACCACAACTAATGCTAAAATGTAGCCCAGGCATAGATGTTATCATGTAACGCAACATGCGTGCTGCAGCACCCCCGGCATGCTTAAATCATTTGTCTACATTTCTAATGTATCTTCAAACCTCCAATATATAACGATATAATAGAATCAACTAAAAAAAAGTATCAGAAATGCATTGATTCTAAAGAGTATCTGCAGGGAAAAAAAAAAAAAAATTGGCATCATCAATTCATCACCCTATGTCACACTGACACTGACACTCGACAATTCATGTTAGACTATTAATATGCTTAAATTTGTAAAACCATGAGTATCTATGTAAATCCAAGTAGCATAATTGTCACCTTTAAGGTTGTGATTAATCGAGGCTGTGCATTACTAAGTACACCGATTTCTGAAGACCAGGTATCTCCATTGCAACAACAGTAGTGACCAATTATGCCACCCAATAGTGCTGTGATTAGAGTAGATTCTCTAGTATCCAAACACTTGTCTTCCAATCCTACCAACTTCCAGATCGTCACAACCAAAGCAGTAGAAATGGCACTGTTAAAAAGCACCTGTATCCTGCAAATTGGCAATGCATAAGGTGCAGTACGAAGTTTAAAAAAAAAAAAATTCACCAAAACAACGAAGTGATCAAGCTTTCAAAACTTATGATAAATACTCATTGCTTGCTTATTTACAATTCACAAACCTATACATTTTAACCTAGGAGAAAATTCTGTGTTCAAATTAAGGTATCCAGCTAGAATCCTATCATAACCACAAAACTTTGGGAGTAGTCCAATAACATTTCTCAAACTTTCCTATCCAAGATGAAGCACTCTATTACGCCTCAAAGTAATTCATATTCCCAGAAAAATCAATCCAAAGTTAATATGAGAAACAAGTTTTTGATACCAATGTCAAAACAAGATCAAGCCTGAAAAGTCCGACGGCTTAGTATTCTTTAGAGCCCAGTGGATTAGAAAGACACTAGGTCAAAACAAAGAATACAAGGATCAATTACTCACACCGAAGATCTAAGGCCAGATTCTTGATAATGATTATAAACCATAAAAAATTCAATTGCTACCAAATATACTACAGCATCCCTACTCCAATAAATTCAAGTTACATTTGTTTAGACCTCGATATCAAGCACTTCAAATAAAGTTCTGCTCCTATGCCTGAATATACTACAAACCCAAACTTACATGAATCTACTAAACTCTCTTATTTTTTGTAGTGATGAAGATCATTAATAAGTTGTTCAATCGATTTTCTCTTTCCTACTTCGTCACCTTTCTCCTTCCTCTCTCATATCTACCACCTTTCACCATTCCTTCTATTGATACAACCGCGTTTTGCACGGTCACAAGACTAGTACTCCTCCGTAAATTAGCCGAGTTTAACTCTTCATTTCTTTACATTTCATTGAAAAACTGATTTCACGAACCATAAATTTCAGTCGTCAAATAATTTCAGTAATCTAGAATCGCAAAACGGTCAAAGATAAATCATAACAAACAGCATAATAATACATGCAAAATCATAAACAGTACTAACAAGCAATTAAAATTAGAGAAGAATCAAAATGTAATACCAGTTCCTTTGACCGCCTTCCTTGTAATCAGCTTCAGATTTACGTTTCTTCTCAGCTCCTACTTTGGTCAACTTAGATGAAGTAAAGAAAAACACTAACAACAAAACTCCAGCCCTATAAAATCAAATTAACCAAAACTAATCACAAATCTTTATCAAATCAACTAATATTAACAAAATCGAAGTCAATCAAACACAAATTTCCAGAAAAAATTAATTGAGAAGTTTGGAAAGTGAGATTGAACCTGTAATTAGTAGCGAGATGAATGAAGACGACGAAGAATCCGCAGAAAGCTCCAGAAAGATCGAGAGACTTCTTCCTGTAAGATCGAATTGCGATAATTGCCGCCACTAATGCTGCGACTAGAGGTTGAATCAAAGCTCTCTCCATTTTTAAGGATGATTCGAACATTGAATTGATTTTTCTCTGTTGTTGTTCTTGCTATTTTTTTGATTTTTTTTTAGGGGAAATTTGTGAGAAAATGAAGTTAGTTACAGGTTATATAGTTGAAAGATTAGTACATTGTGAAATGTGTAGAGGAGTGGTTGAGGTCGAAGCCGTCGTACTGGAAAATGTTAGTTTTACTTTTCCCTCGTATTTTTCTCATTTCTTAAGCAGTCAAGCTTGAAAAGAATGAACACACTCCAATTAGGCAACGTCAGCACGTGTATTGGATTGAACATGTGCGAGCTGGCACGGAATAGACCCAATCTAGCTTAACCCCGGACAAGCCCGGTATGGTAAAGAAAGGCAAAATTAGGCACAACCACACAAGTTTGTAATCTCAAAATCATAAGATGAATTCCAATTGAGGTAAAATAATTTCAAATGCAATCGGGTGGATTTCAAGAATATTTTCATACTCCGTATTTCATTATTGTAGAAATTTGGGCATAATTCCTTCCCACTTTATTCAAGTAATAGCTCTCCAAAAGTTAAGGTTGTCTAGTTTGACTCTTAGCTCCATTATTAGGCAATATTCAATCATTCCCTGCTCAAAATGATCCTTTTCATCCTCACATGACCATTTTATCAAAATTCAACAGGTATTTTAAAAAATTCGAAGACATTTGATTTTAAAAAAATATACGGAGTATATCTATTGATAAAAAGGGTTACATAGTTTAATAGTGATTGGCTGTAGATTACACCCCAGGATAGTTACAACCTTTTTAAGGGAAAACCAGAAAAGAACTCAAAAACAGACTTTGTAAGCGACTAAGAGTTGCTGTACGGAGTATAAACTAACACAGGAAGAAAAAAAAAAAGATCAGAGAGAGACAGCGTCATCAACCTCTCCCTCTCCCTCTACCCCTGCCCCTTCCTCTACCCCTACCCCTGCCCCCTCCTCTCCCTCTTCCCCTCCCTCTTGAACCAGACATTCCTTGATCTCCACTTTCGTCTTTTTCAAAACTGAACATGCTCAACCTTATATCTTCTGCCTTGCTTCTCTGAGGACCCCGCTGCTCCTGAAGGGGAAACAAGGAACATTACTGATTGAATACAAAAGCCCTAAAACTTCATGTTTCAGAAATACTGGACAGTATAACTTCAAATTTTGACTATCTTATAGGGTTTGACAAATTGAACTCAGACAAGGAAGAAAAGGATGAGAGAAAAGAAAATAAAATCATAGATCAAATGATGCATATATCAGAGACAGTTTTCACTATCTTGAAGACCTCTAAAGTCACCCAGAAATGCATTTGAGCATTTTTTTTTTTTTTTTTGAATTATTTGAAAAGAGTAATGGGTACTCACCTGTTCTTCCAAATTAAACTGGTTTTGAAGTTGTCGAGCAAGAGCCTCGTCATGACTGAGATCAAGTGGTTCTTTCCTAGCTGCTGGATTTCCCTCGGCTTTTCTCCTTTCCCACTCTTCTAGAGTGAAAACCTGTTTCTCTTCTTCATACCCCCTTCCCTTGTACCTTGAACCTCTATGTCTTTCATTGCCATGGTTTGGATTATTCATTTTTTGCAGGAGTTTTTGTGCAGCTGCTTGATTCTGAATAGGGATGTACTCAGTCACTGGCAAGCAAGAAAATACCAACTCACTCAGCCAGTTTTATTGATATAATAAAGCCAATATCATCATAGTAACCAACCTATTCTCAGTGAACTTAAAGTAATATGTAGAGCATGAGAAAAAGGAAAGAAAAAAATTGAGATGTGAAATTATAAACATGTGGTTTTATGAACATGCACAGAATGAATTAATACGAAGTAAGATCAAAAGAAGCTGGACCTTCTTTTGGTCTAGTATCAGAGCTCGTTGGCTTTTCTTCAGCTCTCTGGGAAATTGAACCAGTTTTCAGATTAGCATCTGCATCATCAGCTATAGCATTAGGGGGTTGCTTTTGTTCCACCTGCCGGACATCAGTTTCTCTGGAAGATTTGGCAACAGTAGCTCTGGTATTCCTGGAAGCTGATGCCGCTGTGCCAATGCAATATGTATATTAAACACAAAAGGAATATATTTTTCACAGAAGGAGAAATCACATAAAGAGTTGTTCCTTGCAACAATACTTTTTCTTTTATTTATTTTATTGGATAAGAAGCTTACAGCAATAATTGATCCATGTAAAAAGTCAAATGTATTCCACAACACAGGCTCTGTTTTACTTGATAGAATTTAGTCCTAAACTCAGAACCCAAGCCCTAACCATGCTGGCAGTCAGCAGCATCAAGACCTTCTCTGTTTTATGTATTTATAATTACTGCTTGACAAACGTCATGCAGATTGCAAGCACCTCAACAATATCTTCCTATTCTCAATTAACAAAATAGCAAGATGAGAAGTATACCGGTACGAGAAAAACCAAGGTTAGGCCCTCCAATCTTCAATTTCTCAAACGGTGGGGGGCCACCAGCATCACCTTCTCGGCCTAGCCTCAGAGAGGAGCGGGCAAAACCTGAATACTTCAGGTTCATCTGCCACTCTTCATACAATGATTCCACAACTCCTCCTAGTACAGTAATTACATCCGGAGTAAGGCACACGATACCATAGTGTACCACCACTTTCTTTTCTAAACGGACCTGACAATAAGCAACAACTTGCGTTCATTAACGTTAACCAATGATAAACAAAATTTAGATAAGCCCCATAAGCACCAAACAATGCGCCACACCAAAGCCCATTACCAAAAACAGCCACACAAATGAAGAGCACAGTTTAGTTGTTTTCAATGTCATTTCTTGGATGACAGCATCTAATCACATTCAATAAATTGATCATTTTCTTCTTTACACATCATTCCATATGATAACACTTAAAGTCTTTGAATTCCAACTAAACCAAGACATGCCTTTTCTTCCTTAAGGCTCATCTCTTTTTTAGGATGATGAACGGATATCTGCATGTCTATCCTATGATTGCTGATGTTAATTCTACTATCTCCTTTATTGTTCTCTAGCAACATGAAATTCCAATGAAGCAACATTCCAACATACAAAGCTTACAGCCATGTATTACACATAATCAAAACTAGAGGCACTATCTATTTCTAACAAAGTTAAAGGAGCCACTACTGGCAATTTTCAATAACTTTGGATAACAATGTACTGAATCAAACGTCAAATTATACTGTTCTTCACCTTCTATTTGTCACCGATCAATAAGTCCATCAACTTTTTCTTTCAATCGAGGGTTTTCACAAGCAGCTACGCCTATGCCAAGATAATTATTCAATACAAATCTCCACACATGTTACAAAACCAACAAATATTCTATGAAGTAACAATGTAGAGTGAATATTAAAGACTGAACTATTGCTCATTCAAAAATTCTTCCAAATTGAGAGATGTCACAAACATAGGCCAATCACTAAACCAAAACAAATGCAAACCGAATCATTAGCATCGATTAATCATAGGAGAAAGTAACCTTGGTTCCAGGGACAGTGTTTTCGGACAATGCCGGTATAGGAGAATACTCCACAGCAGTAACTTCAGATTGTCCATCAGTCAAAATCAACTTCAGAAGCCTCCGGTCGCTCGAACCCTTATAACCAAGCACCTCACTGCTCCTACTTATATCCTTCACTGAAGCTATCTACAAAACCCAAAACCTAAACACAATCAACAAAAGCAAATTATAAAGAAATTCTTCAGGAAAAAAAAAAAAACAGCTTGGGATACTTTTCAAGGCTTAAGCAGATAATAACCCACGAAAACGGTTAACGTTAGACTAAAACTTGAAAGAACCCTAGAAACTTGGGGAAGAAATACTTGAAAAACAATTGAAGATACTAACACAATTAATTAATATCCAAATTCCCCAAAAGGATTAAATTGAATTGTTTCGAACATTAAATACAAACCCTAGAAATTGGGGGTAATTAAGGATATTGAGAGAGAGAAAAATTGCCTGAAGAACTTTAGGAGGTTGAATAAACTGAGACGACTTGCGAAGGAGAGAAGAATCAGGCAATGATTTACCACCAATTGAACGCAAATCAACATTACAGAGCTCGGATTCCAAGGAATTGACGAAGAAGGAATCACCGTTGATGGCGGAATTAACGGTGATGATTGCTCGAACTTGATCAAGGTTGAGGTCATTGAAACACCAACCTCTAGTAGTTAGGGTTTTCAGCAGGTTTTCTGTTGACGAAGATGGTGATGATGAAGACGACGACGCCATTGAAATCGAATTTCCAGAAATTAGAAGTTTTTACTCAGAAACCGGGAAATTTCAATTTTAGTGTGTTTTTTGGTAGGTTGTTTTTGAAGAAAGGTTGGGCTTTACTCTTTTGCGGTGTTGCATTGGACTGTTGTGAATTTGTGACATGTTAAGAAGCCCACGGATCGGACTGATCTGGGAGAAGTTTCAATCTGATATGAGTAGAAAAAAATTTCAAAAAATAAATATACAAATATACAATGGAGTGTAAAAAAAATTAATGAGAACACCCAATATGTATATGAATTATGTTAAGGAGCATTATCTTATACTTTAATTAACTAACAATAAGTTCACCTAATGAGTAGACCACCCCAGTCGATCAGACTGATTGGCAAATATTGTAAATCAGCTTCTTTTGTGGACCACCTTGTTGTAAATAAAGGAGTAGTCTATTACAAATAGTATAAAAATATTAAGCAAGACCGAAAAATTGATCTCACAAAAGTAGGAAGAGTACGTGTGTCGTGAAGCAAATTCACTGAGTTGAAAACGAAATTCCGACACAACCGGAGTGCTCAATTGTATTCGTCGGCACGTTCCCTAAGGTTAACATGCCACTTCCACTCAAAGGCACTTTTGGGTGGAAGGTTGGAGCCAAGTAACTTATGCCCAATATAGAGTATGTGTTTAGCTTGTGCTTGATATGTATTTCTTAAGTGTATGTAACATTGTAACATAATAAAGACTTCTTCTATTTATAGAAAAATATAGAAGAAGAATCCCATCAAACGTCAAGAGAGATGAATAATCAAATTGATGGTGGTAATTAATCACCTTTAACATTCTCATAAAAGGGGAGGGTTATAACTTATAAGAGTTACGCAAGAGTATAACGTTGGTGATTTATCACCTTAAACTTCTACTTAAATGAGGTGTTATGTGAGAATTATTCAATTGAAATTAGGAATGGGAAGTAACATCTTGAATTCCCTTTCTTTATTCCAATACACCTTTGCAATATAATATAAATTTTTTTTTTAAAAAAAACCTAGATTTAGCATCACAATTCTCAGCGACGAACCACCACCATTTCCGTCATTCCTCTGTCATCTCGCCGGTCATCGGTTATCATCGATCATCGCGTCCCTCTTCTTCTTCCCTTTTTCCTCCTTCCTCCTTCCCCGACCACTCCAAGCGATAACAAAAAGAAACCCTAATAGCAAAAAGGTGTAAAATTAGGGTCATATCAAAAAGGTGGAAGCAATTTTAATCACCTTAGGTGTTGATGGCATTGTTGTGATGGACTGATGGAGGAGGAAGAAGGTGCAGTGAGCTTTATTGGAGGAGGAAGAAGGGAGGAAGAAAGTACAAACTTGCTCCCAAGTAAATAAGTGAAATATCTTATACACCCCCTGTTTGGTAAATTGGACTGATGAACATGTATTTCCTCCTCGACGAGTTCATTTGCAACCAAAAAAAAAGTTATACTTTGTATTGAGTAATAATTTGTAAATTGTGGGATATTAGCTAACTTAGCTGATTAAAGTTGGAAATACGGAGTAGTAGAATTTAGAATTGCAATCAAATCTCGTCAACAGTGTAATTAATATGTATTTGATAACATAAAGACTATGTTAAGTTGGTATGTATTATTTGTTGAATTTTGAATTATGTGTACCTAATAGTATAGTCGATCGAGACTCAACAATGCACTTTATGTGTCCCTAATAGCGTACAGACTTTGCTAAATTCTCTAGCATATCACAATTATTTTGCAGATTGAAGATAGTGTCTTAGCTTGCATAATTATTAATTAAGGCTATGGGAGAGGCAACACGAGCCAAGCCAACGTCATCTTAAGACACAACAATGAAGGATGGAAATTAAAATTTTGCTATTTCCTTTCTTTCTAAACCCAGATGGCGTTAAGGTATGATTTATGAATATGGAAACTAAAAGTTTCTTAAACAAACGCTATGTATAAGTTTATTCGTTCTAAACAATTTTATATATAAGCTACTTAAACCAAACTTTTCTTAAGATGTTTTACAAAAATAAGTTTGTATAAAATTTGTCTAAATGGATCCTTTACGAGTTTTGAACCAAAGTTATTAGTCCAATGTTCCAATACAAATTATACAATCAATTCAATTTTGAGTCTTGGATTTTATTTTTACAGTCTTCGAATTTGAAGGTTGATCATTCAATCATTCATCTTTGTTTCATAATAGTTGCAATTTTGGTATATTTTATATATATCACGAATAATACTACACCTGATCTAAGCGAACCCAACTTGACCAACCCTGGGCATATTTTTCTGGCCGGCGAGTTTGGGAATGGGATTTTATGTAATTTTAGTTATTTTTTGGCCCCGACTTGAAAAGCTCACATGGCTCGATTAATTTAGAACATAATTTTCGATCCAAATCTTGACCCGCCCTGCCCAAAGAATGGGCCAATTTTTTCAACCTCACCCCAATTCAAAACCAACTTGAGCCGCCCGAGTATTCTAAAATTTCAATTAATATGACACGGAATAGTATATTTCTCCAATTTACAATACTAGACCTATTTCATGTTTGCGCTACCTCGCTGCACCCTTTACCTCTCTTGAGTCTTGACTCAACTAGACCGTACTCTCCATAGTAGCGGCTCGTGAGCTTTCTCTCCTCCATTAAAGCAGCTTCTGAGGTATCATGATAAATCATCGAATATGAATTTTACAATCTAGTGTTCATCGTTAATTTAATTGTCAATATACTCAATTTAGGGTTCTTCTGAGGAGGATTATTGAACTATTGGTTGTAATTACTCGAAGAATTTAACAATTTTTTCGAGCTTACTTTGATAATTGACTCAACTTTGATTGCTAATGTGTTGCAGGCTTTGGTTTAACCCTTATTCCCAGAATTGTAGGACACTCTTGACTGTGAAGCTAAAATGGCGGTAAGAACTTACTTTATTTTGTCAAATTATTTCTGTAATTCATATGAATACGTCTTCTTTAATGCCTGCTTGTTGTAGTAAATATGAGAGTCTATTTGCTTTAGTTGTATTCATGATTGATTGATCAAAATTAATGGACAAAATTTGATTAGTGTTTCTATGTCCCTGTTGAGAATCATGAGCCGAAACCGTTTTCGCAATGCTTTTGCTCATAGTGTGCCATGTCGGGATGAATTGATAAAAAAAAACCTATTCTAGTGGCAATTTTATTACAGTGCTTAATATTATGCTGGCTGCTTGGTCATTGTGATTATTACTCTTAACATATTTGGGTTACATAATTTGTTTACGATGTAATATTTTCCTTATAGAATAACAAACCAAGTTAGGTAATGTGTGCTTAACTTTGTCTTCTTTAACTTAATGAGTTGAATGATACATTAAGTTGTTCTTCAGCCCCTTTTTGGATGGTATGACCGAATGAGAGTGGAAGGGTGAAATGCATATAAGATTTTGAGATGTTTATGATTTTTTCTGACTCGGCAAGTCCTTGTAGATTTGTCCATCTATCCTTGAGCATCCTCCTAATATGGAGTAATATTGTAGCATAACTTATCTGAAAAAGAAAGTATCTGAATATTCATTTTGGCTTTTTATTGCCATTTATTTAGCGTCGGCCCATTATGTTCCATACAATCAGTGGTATAAAGTTGTTCATATATTTGATAAATCAAAAGGTTCCACAAATATGTGGTAAATCATTTTTCATGATTGATGTTGGTAAGTAATGAATTTGTGAATATTCAACAACACTAATGAAGACAAAGGATTCACGACACCCTGTGATGCCAAGTTGGTGATATAAACAATCATCTATTGCAGTTTTTCACTACCAATATATTCTGAAATAGCTACATAGTTGAACCTCATAACTTTATAAACCTATTGGTAGGCTTTTTTATGGTTCCAAACCAACTTAAATGAGCAAGGGAGACACCCCGCACATTCACTTCAATCTTGGATTTTCTTTCTTTTTTTTTTTTTTTTTTTTGAAATTGGCTCGAAAGCATGGATTATAAGCCTTCAATCTTGGATATTTTTCACCTTTTTTCGGGTTGGTAAAGGAAAGAGGTCGGGGTGCTTTCCATCGATTCCAAAACACCAAGGGGTCCATTTGGGTTGTTGGATCCTTCTTATTTGCCTTTAAATTGTTAATTTAGTCATTTACAATTTGTGCTTCCCTTCATTAATTTAAGGTCACCATGGGACTTTTTATGACCAACTAGTGGTATATATGGTTCCAAACAACATTATACGACATCAAGATGCATTCCTTTCAATCTCAAGGGTATTTAGCACCGGATTCTGAAATTTCCGAAAGTGGTTCAATTACTTATCCAAACAATATAGTATCTGAAGCATTATTTTGCCTATCTTGTTATCTAATTACCAGCATGAAAAATGATTTACCACATATATGAGGAATTTTGTAGCATTGATTGTCTGGAACCTAATGATCTGAAAATGCAGTTCAGACTTTTTGTTCAGCTCACTAATGGGGAAAGAGGGTAATGAGTTGTATTGGGAGTTAATGATTTTGTTTTAGCAGCTAGAGTGTTAGATTTTCCACCAAATTGTTGAACGTTTCATCTTCTGATTACCATGACTTTCTGAACTATTTCTTTAATATTCGTGCTTACTATTGCAGACTGTTCCAGTAAATCCTAAACCATTCTTGAACAATCTAACTGGAAAACCTGTCATTGTGAAGCTGAAGTGGGGAATGGAGTACAAAGGTAATTCTCTTGTGATCAGGAGATCTAATTTTCATGTCATGAATTTCTGCCCTTATTTCTCTTTAGTTTCACGACTATTTTCTTGAGCTTACCTTTATTTTCATTTTTGCTGGCAAGTCCAATGACTATGAATAGGTTTTCAGAAAAAAAGAAAAGGAAAGAAGGGATTGCCATTCTTTTTCATAATTATTTGGGTGTAATAGGTATTTTAATTGGCCATGAGGAAATGAATGTGACAGTGCTTTTCTTATGACCTCTGCAGGTTATCTTGTGTCAGTTGATGGCTACATGAATCTACAGGTAATTACTAGAAGGCATTTTTGTTTGATTGCATTTCAATGACATTTCTTCTGAATTAGTGGATGCTTTTCTTTCTGTTCTATTGTTGTATTTCATAGTTGCTTGCCTGATTGTTCCAATATTAATGACTTGCCTGCAGCTGGCAAACACAGAAGAGTATATTGAAGGCCAGAAGACTGGAGATCTTGGAGAGATCCTCATCAGGTAATGAAAGTTCTCTTTTCATTTTTACATATACTTCGTATAAAAAATGTTATATTTCTCAATGAAGGTCTAGAGTATTGCACCTCTGAACTTGTGCTTGGCCCACCAAC